TACTTAGTGACATCACTATGATTGTCACGATTCTCATTCTCGAGAAGCTTATCGATTGTGAAATGTCTGAGTGCGATTTGATTGCGCGAAGTGGACGTTAACTCAACATATAATGTATAATGTATTATATTGCAAAGTAATATTTATACATTAAACTTCTATTGTCCGTTGTAGCTTTTGGCTCACGTACTTGTTTCATTGTCGTTTCGATTCTCTACCGTGCTCTTTCTCCTTTTTTCTATCTCGACACAACTGTAGAATTGTAAAATGAAAATCTAATTCTAATAAAAATGCAATTACTCATTACTTATTTCTCTATACAGAATTTTCTTTCTTTTTTTATATTTAAGTTCTTAAATACTTTTCAAATATTCAAAAAAGTAATTTGAATGGAGAGAATTAAAATCGATTCTTATTGTTATTATATATACAACGTTCCTATAATACATGAATTACCTTTATATTGTACATATCGTTTGAGGATTAGCAAATATATCAACACATACTTTTTTAATTAAGCACCATCTTGAGATTAAGACATATAAAAATGCTGAAACACAAATACTTTATCACCGTAATCAATTGAAAACTTGATTGATACGAATTGCGTTTCATGCAAATAGATAACGCAGCTTTTCCTGTTGATTATAAGTGGATTTTATCTTGACATAAATATAGTCAGAGGTATACTTATATTTCTTTTTAATGTGAAAGAAAAAAGAAAGTTAATACTTAGTTAGCACTTTAGTGCTTTCTATAATACATAAATATATAAATGTCCATAATTTACTATCGTTCTCTGTATTAAAAAAGAAAATATCAAAATTTTGATTATTCGTTTCTGCTGCACAAAAATGTATTATTCCTACTCATACATATCGTCTTAAGGATTTTCAAATTGTGGGACTTCAAAGCTATATGTAAAATATCTCAGCAAACACAATATAACGTGTAATATATTTGTTAGTTGTAATTTTCTATCCAACAATATAACTGTTATATAACATATGCGTTATATAATAGTTATATAGTTGAGTAGGAAATTACAGCTAATAGGTATGTTACATGTAATATTGTGTTTGCTGAGCAAAATACATATTTGCATATACAACATATTTGCAAAATTATTCTAGAAGTCGATCAAGGACATCTAATTAGGCTTGTTACATTTTCGACTACTGGGCATAGTGCGTTATATCGTGCATATCTTGAGGTTTAGCTATTAATTTATATTAATGTTCGACGCTCGATGTGAGTGAATTTGCCTGTCATTGTCATCGAATATCACTGGTAAATAAGACTACTGCATTACTCTGATCCGTTATCGCGAGGCAAACTTATCATTTGGGAATGTGCTACGTGTAATATCGAGAGTGAATCGTAAGCGCGATGCTCTTAGTAAGTTATATCACGAACGGAAATGTCAGGATCGATACGAAAGATTAGAGATAATAAATTACAATTGTCTTGCAGATTCTAATAATCACTAGATTTATTAAAAAAGGTACATTAATTTCAGTCATCCTAAGACAAATATACATTGAAAGATAAAAAATCTCATATGTAGAAAAATATTTCAATTTTTAAAACAACAATTCAATATATATTAATTTGTGTTCTGTTAAACAAGAATTCTTTTTATTTATCTATTTAATTTTTCTCCTTCATTAATATTCAAAATGTAATTGTAATAAGTTCATACAGTGACTGAAGAATCAGTTTAGACGAATAATTGATTTTTACAAATAACAATTTATACAAATAAATTTATATAAATAAAAAAAATTATACCGAAGTGCTTATTAAACTATATCCAAACTTCCTCTCACCGTGTCTACAGTACAATCTCGATAGAAAATAATAAAGTATCTCGCATAATTGCACGATGATGCTTGAGAAAGAAAAAAGAAGTAATATAGAGCTCTTAGAGCCGATAGACGCACCAATGCGATAAGAATAACTCGGCCAACGCAGCAGTACAAAGTAACGTCTGTTTACCGTGAATGTGTGTTCAGTGTTAAGTCAATGTGGTGAAAATAATAGGGCATTAAAATCGTACAGTAATATACGAAACGCGTTGAAATCAAACAATGGTGCGTTCCGCGAACCGTGCGCTAAATGGATAATGATATATCGCTTTTAGATGAGACATAAGTCGTTGTATGTGTTCGACTTTTCCGCCCGCTTACTTAGATACAGATTCTCATATCTTAACTGACTGATGTTATCGTCTTATAGACATGAAAAAGAAAAATACTTATAATTTCGAATTAGTAATCGGCCACATTATGTGGCATGTGATTATTGAGCTTCAGAATTATGAAATAAATAGATAGCATCGTTACCCAACGCACAAGATGTCTCGTATCTACGAGACAGGCAGAGTTTATTTATACATACGATAAGCTGTTTGTACTTATGGTCGATATTTTTCTTGATTAAACATAATTTAATGCTTTGATGGATTCATTATTTCTCAGTCATGATTAATTACACATGAATGGCTGTTCGAAAACTGTATAAGCTTCGAAATTTATTACTCATTTTTCATTTCTCGATCCGTCATCAGATTAGTTCTGCAAGAATGTTGAATTATTGAGCCTTATTTTTTTTTAAATAATATGTTGTGTTTCCTTCAATTTTAATATAAGAATGAAGTTTACAATGTAGGAGTAAACATTGAAAAAATGTTGACAATCGCTTCATATTGTATAAATATATGTATAGCAATAATAGTATCACTATAAATATAATGGGGTAACTAAAATTGAAAATAACAATAGCGATATATATTTGCAAAGCGCGCAGATAATTAATTTTTCTAACAAGACTAAATAATTTTACATCATCAACAAATGGTGCTGTTGTTCTGCAGGTCTGCTGTTCTGCAAGAACTTCTGAGCTAGCATACACTGGTATAATAAGTTAAAATGAAAGAAAGTATACATGTTTTATTCTAACTTATTGCACTAGTTCAGAAATCTTTCGAAACAGACCTAATAGTAATAATAAAAAATTATTAATCATTCTAGTTTGACGTATTAACAAATAGATTTATAGTTTAAATCTACATATCGAATATATATAAATTAAACGACAAATAAGCATCGATTGCTTATTTGTCGTTTATTGAAAATATAATAAAATGAGGCAAGAAGAAGAGAAAACAATTGAACGGAAAAAAAGTTAAAGTTTACATACCAAATTTATACATACACAACTAATGATTTTACAACAATATGGTATTGCTTAAGAAATGTTTAATCATCACATGATGTAATATATAGTTTGATAGAATCGTGTGAATCATCAATTTATCGAGCATGTTTCTTATCGCGAATTATTTATATGATATATATACGAAATAAAAATTTAATTTTTATTTGTGTAATCACATGATAATAGTAATAGATAATCGCGGACAGTGACAATGTTGAATATCGAACTGATTGTAAAGCTTTAGGATAGTCAGCTCAAAGAATTATGCAATATAAAACATGTGAGTATAGAATATATATATATATATATATATTATTATACATAATAAATTAATTAAATAATACATTTCATAATTTTATATCGATGTAATTATCAGATTATGAAGTATGGATATAATTTATGTTACAATGTTATCTACAACACCAGTTTGACGAGCAATAAAATGATGTCTAAAATACAGACTTTTATGCATATCTATATTAAAACATATAGGATATAGAATGTATTGTGTCATTTCAAGCAATTGCATAAACTTACAATAATGTTATCAGATTGCTTCTATCTTCAACATCATTTGAAATCTTTGAAGAAATTTATTTATATTCGATAAGTCTGAGTACTGCTAAATAAAAGCGTTAATAATTCGGGATCTGTTAAATTTCTCTTGTATTTCTGTACCATTTCTTGAATTTTCAAGCGTCTTCGTACGTGTGGTGGATGATAACTGCAAAATATAAGGAGGTTTACGAGATTTTATTAGAATAAAATATCATGAAGGAAGTGCATGAGATTAGATAGAAACATGCGAGAGATAATTTGTACCTGTCATTATCGAGTCTTTTTCTACGTCCCATGTTAAGAGCTGTTTGCCTAACTAATGTTCCCAAAACTCTTCTTGACACTACCATACCGTCGATTAGAGGTGTTGCTAGATTAATTCTAGAAACTGGTCCTTGCAATCTGACTCTCATCAAACCATTAGCAAGAGCTTGTAAAAAGATAACTTGTACATCAGTTGGTTGCATAATTCTTGATTGCTCTAGTCCGGTGCAAGTAGAAGGAAGTAGATCACCTATGTAATTCGAAAAATTTTTTTTAAATTATCACAACTTAAGTTCCAATATTGTGACTCAAATATTTCTCAAAGAATTTAATAACATTAACATTAAAGAACTCATTGAATTCATTGAACGATAAATTTTTTAACAATTATTGTACAGATTCATGTGTCGAAAAAAGTGTTATATTATGAAAAGTCGAACAAACCGATCGGAAATTGGATATGATCTTCTAAACTCTCTAACCACACAACCATGATTTTTGTATTAGTTTGCAATGGTAAAGACTGTTTCAACGATCTTCTCGGTTTGATAGGATCTGCACTTGATGAATTTATCGGACCTATTCCCGACAAGCTCGACGGCTGTTTCTCCAAATCGAGCGACATCGCTCTTGAAGTCTGCGCTGTATTTTGTGATATACTAGAGATCCTAGTATCTGTGCTTTCACTAATACTTCTTTCAAACCATGCTGCAATGAAGTATATGAAACGCTCGAGATATCAATCACTTTCATATCTACGCAATTGTATCATATTCATTGTGCAAGATGGGCCTTAGATCATAACGCCACGAAAGAGATAATTCCACATTTTGTCAGTGCATTTAAGTGAGTGTGTTCTGTATTTTATACTTTATTGTTTATTAAGTTGTTTTATTGTCATTAAGTTATTTTATATCTTAACAGTGTTTTCTACTTTTAAGTATTACCTTGACCACTGCTGATATCACTGCTGTAACTGCTAGTTTCTTCTAGCGAATCTGAGCTGGCCATGAGATATGATTGAGTAGGCACCACAAATGCAATTTCTGAACTTACGTCGGCCCAGTACAACACATGTGTATCACCATTGTAAAGCGCACCGCCGTGATTACTATGAGCAGGTTGCGGTACATTCATCTGTGCTGTCGCTCTCCAAGAAGTGGACACATGACCGGTCCAGCCTGCGTGAGCAGATACAGAAACGGGCCAGCCGAGAGAACTTAAGAACTCCATGAAATTCGGCGATACATTTTCCTCATGCAACTGTAATTACAAAAATTCTAAGCTGCAAATAAATAAAGATGAAAAGTATATATGGAAGATATATGCTTCATATCCTGACAATCGTATTATATTTTGTCATAGGTAACAATTTTAATAATTGATGGAAAATTACTATCAAATTGAACCCTTATAAAACATAATCAATCAGATAATTGAAATGAAATCAATAAAATAAAAATGTTGAACATGAGGCTTTAATATACAACTCATTCCAAGTAGATCATTCATTATTGTTTCAGCAGAAAAAGCTTGAATACTTTTTCCTTCCAAGAGATAACAGCGATTAGATATAACTGATACATCAGATAAGCTCCATCTTACCACGTTTGATAATATTTCAGATGTAGATTTCTGACTTGCTTTTACATAAAAAATATGAACGGTGTCACATGTTCGTGGACTGATGTTATCTAATGTTTCCAAATCCATACAGAATCCGGGAATGGTCGGATCTAGAGCGATAAGCCCGGTATCTCTGGATTCCTCATTTTCCTTAGGTTCCACATTTAAGAAGCCGAAATGGCTCAAAAATAGTCGAGCCGTTTGAAATTCATGACAGATCTGCGGTGGCACGCACTCGTCGCTCTTCTCTTCCGTATTTTTTATATTGCCGTTATCATATTTAGTCTCAAGTGTTATTTGACGCTCTAAGAGTTGCGCGAGAATCTGATGTTCATTCCGTACTGCGTCGTTATCGCTCATAACTGCCTCGAGACTTGGTATTGATTCATCCCTATTACGAATAAACGTTAATAGCATATAATCAATGGATATGTTAATGGATATAAAACTAAAACTAAATGCACAAATTAAGATTCTTTTAGATAGATATTGATTAATTCTCAAATATTAATTCATGGGACTTGGTTAGATGGCGTACAAGTGTATGGTTGCGTGAGTTTGAGAGAGAGAGAAAAATAGAGATTGTAAAATAAGTAAGATAGGGGAGTAAAGTAAGAAGGTAGGAAAAGAAGCAGAAGGAGGTAAGATAGCGATAAGAATAAAGGCAAATAGAGGGAATAAGGAATAAGTAGAGAAGGGGCAGAATAGGAAATGAGAATGCGGAGAGGTTAAGTAGACGGAGCGGAGATATGAGTACAAGGAGAGGAGGAAAGGAGGTAAGGGGAGGCAAGGGAAGAGTGGATGATAAGCAAGGAAAATTGGTGATAGAGAAAAGAGATCAAGAGAGGAAGGTGAGTTTCAGGGGTACGGATGGATTAGGAGATGAGCAGGTTAGAGAGGAGATAAGGAAGGAGATAAGAAAAGAGTTGAGACAGGTAACGGAATGGAAGGAGGTAGAGAGTAGGATGAAGGAATTAGAAGATAGAATGATAATTGCGGGAAGATTTATAGAAAAAAGTAAGCAAGGAGAGATGAGTGAAAGAGAAGGAGAAAATAGAGAGGAATGGGAAAGAAAGGCGACGTTTAGTAAGCTAAGCAGCAGAACGAGATTGAGTAATAGGTATGGTTCGATAAGAAGTGATAGGTTAAGTGAATGCCTGAGTGAAAAGGAAATAAAAAAGATAAAGAAATTAGTGGTAGAAAAGGAAAAGGAGGAGAAGAGAGGTAATGTTGTAATAAAAGGGTGGGAGATAGGGGACAGAATAACGAATGGAAAGGCAGAGGAATTTATAAAAAAAGAATTGGATGTGGAAATAAAAGTGAAGAGATGTTGAATAAGTGGGAAAGTGGTAGTGGTAAGTCTGGAGGAAGAGGAGATGAAGAGGGAGATAATGAGAAATAAGAGGAAACTGAAAAGTAAAAGTATTTTTATTGAGAACGACTTGATGTGGGAGGAAAGAAAGGTACAAGAGGAAATGGGCAAATGGGTGAGGGAGGAGAGGAGGAAAAGAAAGGCTGTGAAAATGGGTTTTGAGAGTGATGATTGATGGAAATTGGAAAATAGAAGAAATAGAGGAAATAGAAGAAGAAATAATTAGAAGAAAAGGAAGGGACAGAGATAGGGAATTAAGGGAACTAAAGGAAAGGGAGATGAAAGAAGCATTAAGAGAGGAAGAGGATAGGAGAAGAAAAAAGGAGGAAAGAGATGGAGAGAGAGAAGAGGGGGTAGAGAGGAGAGACTAGAAGAAAGAGAGGAAGAAAGAAAGGGGGGAAAGAGAAAGGAAGGGGGAAGGGAGATTAGACAGGATTTCAGGTAAGCCAAGAAGGGGAGAGAGGGAGGGGAGGAAGGGTAGAAGCCTAATTTTTGGAATGTGGCAGGAATACAGAGGCAGAATAAAGATTTTTGGAACTGGATAAAGGGCAAGGATTTTATCAGTTTATGTGAGACATGGTTAGAAGAAAAGGGATGGGAAGGGTTTAAGGAAAGATTGCCTAACACATACTGGTGGGCATATAGGCCAGCGAAGAGAGAGAAAAAGAGGGGAAGAGCAAAGGGAAGTTTTTGATAGGTAGAAGGAAAAATTGGGGAAAAGAAAATAACATTTTGGGGGAGAAAAAAGAGGAAGGATTACTGGTTTCCGAAATAGAAGGTAAAGGCAAGGATAAGGAAATGATAATTATCTCAGTTTATAACTCGGAAAGATGGAAGGAGATAGGAAAAAAGATAAAGGAAATAATGGAGGAAGGAAGAGAGAAGAATGTAATAATAGGAGGAGACTTTAATATAAGGATAGAAGAAGAGGGAGGATTAGAGGAGGAGGGGGAGCTAGAGAGAAAGAGCAAGGATAAGATAAAAGGAAAAGACAGCAAAAGTATGTTAGAAGTATTGGGAGAGGTAGGAGGATATATATTGAATGGATCTGCGGAAGGGGACAAAGAGGGAGAATTTACATATATAGGTGCGAGAGGAAGCTCGGTAATTGATTATGTAATTGTCAATGAAAATTATAAGGATATTGTGAGAGAATTTAAGGTTGGAGAAAGAGTGGGCTCGGATCACATGCCCATGATGGTGGCAATAAAAGGAAACGGAGACTGCAGAGAAGAGGAAGGAGAGGGAGAAGAGGAAAGAAAAACAAGGATAAGATGGGATAAGAAAGCGATTGAACACTTCAAAAAGGAAACAGAGAAGATACTAGATACAACAGGAGAAGAATTAGAAGAGGAGCAAGGATCGGTAGAACGGAAATGGCTATCTCTGAAGAAGGTAATTGGGGAAGCATTAGTCAAGGAGGAATGGAAGTGGAAAAGGAAAGGAATAGGACACAAGGAATGGTGGAACAAGAGTACGAAAATTAAAAGGAGGGTGCATAGAGAATTTAGAAACTGGAGAAGAGGTAGAATAAGCAGAGAAAAATACATGGAGGCAAGGAAAACTTTAAAAGAGCACGTTGAGAATAGGAAAAGAAAGAAAAAAGAAGAGGAAGAAGAAGAGTTAAGAAATCTGAAGAATGAAAGAGAAGTATGGGAATTTATAAACAGGAAAAGAGGTAAAAGAAAACAGGTCAAGAATAATATAGACAAGGAGAGATTGAAGGAATATTTTATGGAATTATTAGAAGGGATAGAAGAAAACACGAAAGAGGAAAGGACATTTATACAAGAAAGAGAAGAAGACGAGGTTGGAGGAAGTCAAGAAGAAAAGGAAGGAGAAGAGGAACTGAAAGAGGAAGAAATTATAGAGGCAATAGATAAACTCAAAAGGAAGAAGGTAATAGGGATTGACGAAATACCGGCGGAGGCATGGAAATATGGAGGACAGGCAATGAAGAAAGGAATTAAGGAATTATTGCTGCAGATATGGAAGGAAGGATCTATACCGAAGGATTGGAAAACAAGTGTGATTTGCCCCATATACAAAAAAGGAGATAAGGAAAGAGCAGAAAATTACAGAGGGATATCAATACTATGTACAGCGTATAAAATTTATGCAGAGGTGTTGAGAAGGAGATTGGAGGAGGAAGTGGAAGCAAAGGAATTACTACCTGAAAGCCAGGGAGGATTTAGAAGAGGAAGAGGAACATTGGATAACATCTTCGTACTAAATCATATAGTGCAAAGAGAAAAGAATAATAATAATAAAAAAGATAGGAAAATATACGCAATGTTCGTGGATTTTAAGGCGGCTTTCGAAAACATAGACAGAAAGAAGTTATGGGAGATTCTGAAGGAAAAGAAGATAAATAGGAAGATCATAGGAAGGCTGAAGAAGATTTATGAAGAAACTAGAGTCACGATAAAAACGAAGGATGGGTTTACTAGCTGTTTTAAGACTACGAAAGGAGTAAGACAGGGATGTGTGATGAGTCCACTGCTTTTTAATTTGTATGTAGCGGATCTAGACGATTACATGAGGAGGAGAGGAGTAGGAGGAGTAAAAGTAGGTAAAGAGAGAATTAGGTTTCTGGCGTATGCTGACGATTTAGTTTTAGTAGCAAAAAATAGGGAAACATTATTAGACATGATGGGTACATTAAGAAGGTTTACAAAGGATAGAAAATTAATTGTGAACACGGAGAAGACAAAAATAATGATATTTAACAAGGAAGGAAAGGAAAAAAGGAGAGATGGAAATGGAAAGGTAAAGAGATAGAAGAGGTTCAGGAGTTTAAATATTTAGGGTTTAATTTTAATAAGGGAGGAGACTATAGGGAGCATATAAAGGAATTGAAGAAAAAAGGGAGACTGGCGGTGAATAAGGTATGAGGATTAGGAGAAAGGATTTGTAGAGATGACTTTGGAAGGAGAAGGAATTTATTTAAATATTTGGTACAAAGTGTGATGTCATACGGGGTAGAAATATGGGGATGGGAGGAACAGAAGGAGTTAGAGAAAATTTGGATGGATTATGTAAGATGGGTGTTTAGGCTAGATTTTTGTACGCCAAGGTATATTATTAGGAGAGAATTAGGGTTAGAAAATTAAATGGGGTATAAGGGCTAGAAGGTATGAATTAAAGATAAAGAAAATGGAAGACAAAAAATGGGTGAAAGAATGCTGGAAGGAGAAGGTTAAGGATGGATGGAAGGAAAGGTACGGAAGGGAGAGAGAAAAGTATTACAATAGGAACGGGTGGGGAATAGCAGCAATAGATAGTTTAATGAGTGAGGAAGAGAACATAGAAGGGAAATTGGTTAGAAGAGAGAAGGAAGTACAAAGGCAAATAGAAGAAGGGCAAATAAGAGAGGCGAGGTATAATAGAAAATATAAAGAAATAAACGAAACAGGGGAATGGCCGAAATATTTAGAGGGAGGAGACGAGATAGAAAGGAAAGAAGGAATGGCAATTAGGGCAATGATGAGGTTAAGGTGTGGAAATATGGAGGAGGAGAATAAATATTGGGTAAAGGAAGAGGATAGGAAGTGCGTGTTTTGTGGGCAAGGTAGGGATAATATAGATTCATTTTATAGGAGAATGTGAAATTACAAAGGAATGGTTTAAGGAAATAGGTAACAGTAAGGAGGAAAGAGTGAAAAAGTTATGGAAGGATGATTTAAATAAGGTGAAAACAGAAATTCTGAAGTTATGGAAGGAAAAAGAAAGAAGAGAAGAAAAGGCAGGATGTGATATAGACGGTGATATAGGCTGTGAGACAGAAACTAGTAGATAAGATAGTCGATAGGTAATAAGTTATAGGTATTAAGATAGTTAAGATAAGGTAGGATAGGAGTAAGGTAAGAGGATAGAGTAGAGTGTGTAGAGTGTGCAAGTGAATGTGGGAATGAGTGAGATAAGAATTATTGTAAACCAAGTCCCGCTTCTTGACAATGTATGCTGAAGTAAATAAAGTTTATATATAAATATTAATTCATGCATATGTATAGGGTGAGGCACTTAAATTGAGACGCCTAAATATATAAAAAATAAAGTAAAATGGAAAAAAATGTTTCAGACAAAAATTATAAAGTTTCAAAAGGGACATATTGTAGTACTATTGATTTGACTTTCGGTTGCAGTGTCAAAGTGAAAGGAAAGTCAACTTTATATCTTTTAATAGGACTTTAATCTCTTAAACACCTAAGCTTGTAGTCCTTTTCATAACGAATTCAGTGACCACTCAAGGTTGTTGGAGGTCAAATAACGGAAATCAAAGTTTAAATCATTAAATCAAGATATATAATTTTCAATTTATATGCATTTATTTTATTAAATGCATAAAAAGGTGGCCATTAACTGCGATATGCTTTTGAATACATTGAAAGATTGATGAACATTTATAACAAAGATTTTTTTCCATAAGAACTTCAAAAAAAAGTATATTAAAATGGATAATAATATAGGGGATGCACCTTCAATTATTTTGATCTTGACATATATAGGGTGCGTTCAGCGGAGAAAACTGCTCAGTGAGCGATTAGTAACTATTGGTCCTTATTGTTAGATCCTTACATTCAGACCAATGACGGTGACGAATTACTCAACAGTTGCGCAACTGTTGAGTGTCGTGAACGCACACCATGAAAGAAGGAGGGCGTACTAGGTGGCGATAGAACGCTGTGCGTTCGGGACCTGCATCTTATTTTCGTTCCGAAGAAAGAAAAATATCGAGAGTGCGGTAGTCGCTAGACCGGGAATCGAACCCGGGTCTTTCGCTTGCCGGGCGACTGCTCTAAAACCACTGAGCTACCTGACGCTCCACGACATTCTCACGACGCTCTCACGACATTCTCCTCTCCCTAGATAACGTTAAGGTCCAGTTCCACAAAATCAAGTTTAAACCGTGATTATCTGAACTGACGTTACATTTAACGGCATGGTTAAACTTATATCGCGTTCCACATCATGTTTTTAACTGTAGTTTACTTAAACCTATAGTCTGTATGAAGAAACTGTCAGACTTCTCTTTCTTTTCAAACGTAGAGTATGATTGGTTGTTGCTAATAGTGAAAAGAGGGAAAATTGAAGTAAGTTGGATGCTATGACATCTAGTAGAGAACAATATATCTGTTTCGTATAAAGTAAACACTTACCAACATTAACATTTGCTGTATTTGTATATAAGTATTAATTTATTAAAAGGTGGAAGTCCAATGTTAATAATAAATTAGTTTATATTATTAATTTGATTGCATTTATCATATAATAATTGACTTTTATATATAGTTTTATACTCTATTTTAGAATATAATCTATCGAAGCAAAAAACCCAATATTTTAAATTAAATTTATATACTTACTGTTCTGTTTTATGAGAAATTTCATGCTCGATTTCTACTAGAATTGCAATAATAGATTCTTTTGATAATCTAAATCGTGCATGAAAATCGACATTATCAAATTCTTCCAAATATGATTGTCTTATTCTTATATTTCTTGTCCGTTGATAAATTAGGTTTTCAAAATCTTCATCTTTAGATGAAGATAATATGTATTCTAAAGCTATATCTCTTTAGTGTTCAAACGTTCAAAATATTTGTCAACTGAACTCCAAAACCGGGATAGTCATAAATTTTTTTCTCAAATTGATGGTACTGCAGTGTTAAACTTCGTTTAAATTCATTAAACGCCCAAAGTTTTGGGTTTAACTTTAACTGTGAGAAATCAACGTTAACCATGGTTTAAGGCAGTTGTAGAACGCAATTTTTCGTCTAAACTAGGATTAACGAGTTAAACTTCGTTTACAGTAAGTTGTGGAACCGGGCCTAAGAAATGTCGTTCGGAAGCGACATCTCTAGTGCTATCCCGAGCGCACAGCGACTACAGAGAGAGGCATTGTTACTTGTACCTAGTGGTACAAGCTAGTGGTCTCTCAAAGTCAAAGGTTGCTATCCTTTAAGACCTGCTGTCCATGTATGTCGGCCTCCCGTTGCTCCTCCTTATCCGGTCATCCGGTGTCAAGGTCATCATCCTGAATAATGTGCAAAAGGTTTCAAGTGGCGCTCGTTGTTTGTTAAAAAGTTATCAACAAAAGAAATTCCACAAAATAAACATAATTTGTATTTACCGTTTGTAATAAACAATTAAACTTTTTGAATAATACTCAGAACCATCAAAACGAATTATCAATATATTCGTTTTTATATACATAAGTTTTGGTATTTAAATCTTGCCTTTCTAAATTGATAAGTCTATCGTATATTAAAATTGTAGATTCCGAAATGATTAACAAAGGCCCAGCGCAAGGTTTGGCAAATAAATCTTTCGCTTTTCTAAATTGATAAGTCTACCATATACTAAAATTATAGATTCCGAAATGATTAGCAAAGACTCCTACGCAAGGTTTGACAATTAAATCTTTTGCCTTACTAAATTAATGAGACTACGGTATATTAAAATAACAGATTCTTAAAAGAATAGCAAAGGTTACCCCTACGCAAGGTTTGCATTTAAGTAATTTATTTGTGCCAAACATTGCATAGGGATCTTTGCTAAATCTGCTCAAAATCTGTTATTTTAGTATATCGTAGACTCAATTTAGTAAGGCGAAAAATCGTATTTATGAAACTTGATTTGTATTTTCAATAATTATAATCATATAATAAATTTATACGACAAAATATATGTAAAATATGTATATTTTTATAACTCTTGTCAACATAAAAATATGCTATGCTGCTTAAATGAAAGATTTAAAAATATATGAAAGAAATATTTGGATATGGTAATAACTTTTGGTAATTATGCAGTTAAGCCTCATCTCTGCTCACATATATGTAAAGTTTACCGTACCTAAATATACACAGTGTCGAAAAATTACGCTCGATTAATGAAACTTCTCCTGTCAATAACTTTTTACCAAATAACGAGCGCCACCTGTCAAATCTTTTGCACAATGCTCAAAGTGATAACCTTGACAACATATATCAAAGTCATTGAAGGTGCATTCCCTATATTGTATTATTATCTTAAAATTATCTTAAAATGCATCAATAAAAACCAATCAACACTGAAAAATGAAAGAACGCATGAGAAATGCTTGTCACAATATTGACAAAAATACTTTGTTAAACGTTCCTCACCACTTGTAGAAACGTAGAGCGGATTAAGGTAAATAGAAAAGTTTTTTATACATGTACAAAGTGTTTGGTAACTCATGTAGCCATAGCTAATGGAAATGTAGAGTTGATTAAGACAAACATAAAAGTCATACAGTCTTGTGATATTCGCAATAATTATCGAGTTATTAATGACAGAAATCCCATGAATGAGCACGCACCGGAATGATATTGGACAAGTATTGCAGCTATTCTGGCAAGAATGCGGTCTAGTCAATCTAGCAACTGTTGCCAGCGCACTGCGAGGGGAATGACAATGCGTCGTTATTCGGCTATTCGCTAGTCTTATTTCGCCGTTTTTACGTCTCGCTGCGCGCCGGCAACAATTGCTAAATCGATTGAACAGCATTATACACCACGAGTTTTGAGTATTTCTCCCATATCATCTCGGCGTGCACTCCTTCATCAGACTTCTATAGTTAATAACTCGATAATTATTGCGAATATCAATATTGCAAAACGATATAGGACTTTTTTGCATGCCTTAATCCGTTCTATTGCTCCTACGAATTCTGAGACACCCTATACATACAGGGTATTCCATAACTCACAAGGAAAAGTAGGGAATTTCAGGAAATTCAAAAAATTCTGAATTCTGAATTCTGCAGTTCTTTGTATAGAACTAAAGTAGTTCATCTATAATGCAAAACTATTTTTTGCGGGATCCCAATTTGAGAGGGTGAAACCAATCTTCAAAAGAAAAAATCATTTTCATTTTTAGCGTACATCTTTTAAAATACGAGGCATATGCAAAAACAGTTTATATGAAAGTTGTAGTATATTTCATGCTCTTTATAACTGTGTATTCAGATTTTGCAAAATTGGAGGGTGGACGAGGTTTCAAAAATTTTTCAACTTTACAAAATCTGAATACACAGTTGCAAAGACTATGAAATACATTACAACTTTCATATAAACCATTTTTGCATATGTCTCATATTTTAAAAAATATACGCTACAAATGAAAATGATTTTTTTTCGAAAGTTCGTTTCACCCTTTCAGACTAGAATTCCGCACGAACAAAAAATAGTTTTATATTACGGATGAACTACTTTATTTTCACATAAAGTTTCATAATTTTTAGAATTTCTAAGTTCCTTATGTTTCCTTGTCAATATAAAAAATTCGTGAAGACATAGATCAAGACAAACATAAAAGTTTCGTACTGTTTTGCGATATTCACGATAGTTATTGAATTATTAATTATAGAAATTTGACGAGTAAACGCGCTAAGATGAATGATTGGAGAAACGATTGCTTCGCGCCGGCAATCATTGCTAGATCGATTGGGCCGCGCTATTGCCCGAGTGGCTGCAACGCTTCTGTTCAACATAAAACTGTATGGGACTTTTATGTTTGTTTAATCCGATCTATGTCTCTACGAATTCCTCGTACTGAGTTATGAGACATCTTATACATATAAAATAAAGAATTTACCAAATATATCACCTATCTGATGTAACTAACTGAATAAAAAACATGATAGAATAGTATCAATTTCAATGAAATAAATAAACATTATATAAAGATAAGTAGGTTTCAGTCTTTCACTAAAGTGATATAAAAAATAAACAGTAAATATCAGATATATTAGAATGAAAATCTAATATCTATGAGCTAAAATCATCGAAGAAGGAATTGAGTAGAAAGATAAATAAGAAAAAAGAAGATAAGATTAACACTCAAAGTAACCAGATGAGATCTCTCTTTAAGTTCTGACTAAACCAAAACTTTGTATGCAAGATAATTTACTTACACTTTACAATGGGGAATGCGATCCACATTATCCGGGAAGAATTTTGGTTTATAATCCGTCTGTGGTGCGGCCTCAGCTAAAGGCAAGGGTCTACCGGGATTGTTGTTGATGCTTCTAATGCTGGACCGGTGACGCGGTAAATGACGCAGCTGCATCGTCCATGCGTGTCTGCCGAATGGCCCGCGAATAAGAACAGTCACAGTTGGTTGAGGATCCTGATCGTTTCCCAGAGGCTCCTCTAACAGAGCCAGAACTATTGCATTTTCAGAGACGAAATAACGAAATCTCTCTACGGCCGCTTGTCGAGCCACACGTCCACCAGTCCAACTGTTACAGTGCCGAAGCAATGAAACTTCGTCCAATAACGATGAAAGTGACTGCGCTCCACAGGCACTAGGAAAATAGCCGACCTACGAAGGAAGAAATCGTGAATAAAAAAAAGCGATGAAATCAAATATTTTAGCAGTGAAAGCTACCGAGAAATCTATAAAGAATGATAGCGACGAAGAATTTATATACAGGGTGGTTGATTATAAGTTGCCAACCCGAAATGTGAAGGTAGATTGAGTTCAGATAAACATAAAAGTCCCATACTGTTTTGCGAGATTCGCAATAATTATCAAGTTATTAATGACAAAAATCTGAGGAATGGGAGCGCGCCGACATAGATGATTGGAGAAGCGTTGCAGTTACTCAGGCCACAGTGCGGCCCACTCGACCTAGCAACTGTTGGCGGCGGGTGACGAGACGTAGGTCCGGCGAGATAAAACAACGAATAGCAGCGCATTGTCTTTCCCCTCGTCGCGCACCGGCAACAGTTGCTGGATCAACTTGGCCGCGCTGCGGCCTAAGCAACTGCAACGCTTCTCCAATCATCTATGCCAACGCGCTCCTCAGATTTCTGTCATTAATAACTCGGTAATTATTGCGAATCTCGCAAAACGGCATGGGAATTTTATGTTTGTCTTAACCCAATCTACCTTCACACTTCAGGTTGTAAACTTATAACTCCCCACCCTGTATATAGACACCCTGTATATACAGGGTGTCTCAGAACTTTGGGACACGGGCTCCGTACGGATATAGAGCTAAGTGAGATGAACAAAAAAGTCCTCTGCCATAATGTGAAAATCGTAATAGTTTCTTAATTATAACAGCGCAAAGTGTGGCGTTTTCCACGCCCAGCGCGGCCTATAGATGCTCCGTGGCAAGCTATGTACGTAGGGGCTGAGCGATAACGCGACTCACGCTGACCGTCGCGCGGCGTCAAAACGCCAAGACGCCATCGCGACAGTCAGCGCGAGACACGTTATCGCTTAGCTCCTACGCACATACGCACTTGCCGCGGAGCGTCTATAGGCCGCGATGGGCGTGGAAAACGCCAAACTTTACGCGGTTATTACTAAAAAACTATTACGATTTTCACATTATGGTAAAGGACTTTTTTGTCCTTCTCATTTAGCTCTATGTCCCTACGGAGCCCGTGTCCCAAAGTTCTGAGACACCCTGTATACAGGTTGTCCTATTTAACCTGACAAATCGTAATATCTGGAAAACTACATGTCAGATCAAAAAAAGTGGGTAATGAAATTTGTTCGCCCCGAAGGGGGACATCCAATGATATCAAACTCGACCTCCCACCCCACTCCCGGGGGGTAGGGGTGGGGGGAAACTGAAATCTTAAATGGGAATCCCTATTTTTTATTGCAGATTCGGATTCTACTCCACAAAATACGTAAGTTTCATCCGAAACTTTTTTTTTTATTCGTGATAGATGGCGCTGTAATCACAAAAAATTAGATTTTCTGCAATTCTCCAGAAATGACGATTGGATTGAAAAATAAAAAAATACCTGTTCAATATTTTTAAAAATATTTTTAAAAAACATAATAACAGTTATTCCCCCCCATCCCCTCGGGGTAGGGTGGGTGGTAACGTTCAAATCTCAAATGAAAACCCACATTTTTCATTGCAGAATTAGATTTTACGTGAAGTTTTATGGAAACAATTTTTTCATTCGTGATAGATAGCGTTGAATTTTTCCGAAAATCTACTTTTAGCGTTACCCAGGAACAACGACGAGCACGTAGTAGCTTTCTGTTCCCTATGAGAGGCGAGGGGACCCATCTAAAACAAGCACCCCGATGGTGAGAGGCGAAGGGACTCACTTAAAACAAGCACCCCGATGATGAGAGGCGAGGGGACTCACCTAAAATAAGTACCCCGATGGTGAGAGGCAAGGGGACTCACCTAAAATAAGCACCCCGAAGGGAACAGAAAGCTACTACATCCTCGTCGTTGTTCCCGGGTAACGCTAAAAGTAGTTTCTCGGAAAAATTCAACGCTATCACGAATGAAAAAAATTGTTTCCATAAAAACTTCACGTAAAATCTAATTCTGCAATGAAAAATGTGAGTTCTCATTTGAGATTTGAACGTTACCACCCACCCTACCCCGAGGGGATGGGGGGAATAACTTATTATGTTTTTTAAAAATATTTTTAAAAATATTGAACAGGTATTTTTTTATTTTTCAATCCAATGATCATTTCTGGAGAATTGCAGAAAATATAATTTTTTGCGATTACAGCGCCATCTATCACGAATAAAAAAAAAGTTTCGGACGAAACTTACGTATTTTGTGGCGTAGAATCCGAATTTGCAATAAAAAATAGGGATTCCCATTTAAGATTTCAGTTTCCCCCCACCCCTACCCCCCGGGAGTGGGGTGGGAGGTCGAGTTTGATATCATTGGATGTCCCCCTTCGAGGCGAACAAATTTTATTACCCACTTTTTTTGATCCGACATGTAGTTTTCCAGATATTACGATTTGTCAGGTTAAATGGGACACCCTGAATATAAGAATGTTTCATTTTAAGTGATATGGTTGATTATCTCGCGAATCAATGATTTTATTGAAAAATTTTTCCAACGAAAGTTGCATGGCTTGAAGGGGGACACATGATGGAAATGTGGACTTGACCTTGAGTGACCTTGTCAAAAACAGGTCAAGGTCATTAATGTTTTTTCAGATAGAAATCCCTATTTTTTATTACATATTCTTGTAGCTTATCTTGAGAGCTTTCCGAAACACTATAATAAAGTTACGTTTCATTGAGTACTTTCCGAGTTATGAGCCTTGAAAGTTAAGGCAAGACCGATCACTGATCCGGCCAACCAAGGCAAAACCGACCACTGATCCGGCCAACTAAGGCAAGGCGGGATCAGTGATCGGTCTTGCCTTAGTTGGCCGGATCAGTGATCGGTCTTACCTTAACTTTCAAGGCTCATAACTTGGAAAGTACTCAATGAAACGTAATTTTATTATAGTATTTTGGAAAGCTCTTGAGATAAGCTACAAGAATATGTAATAAAAAATAGGGGTTTCCATTTGAAAAAACATTAATGACCTTGACCTGATTTTAACAAGGTCACTGAAGGTCAAGTTCACATTTCCATCATGTGTCCTCCTTCAAGCCATGCAACTTTCGTCCGAAAAACTTTGCAATAAAATCATCGATTTGCGAGATAATCGACCATATCACATAAAATGAAATATCCTGTATACATATATATTCTTTGCACACATACAGACCTGTTCTAATAGAATAGTAAGGAGAGCGTCAGCGGCATCTCTTACACGCATAGACGCAGGCTTCAATTCTTTCTCATCCTTCATTTTGATGGGTTCACCTGGTTTTCCAACGCTTTTAGTGCCAGATACTCCGAGTTCAACAACTTCTAATACTGTGGTCAAGCAATCTTTGTCCTTTGGTAGAAAATAGAGATAAACATAGAATATTCATAATGAGATAATTTCATAAATTATTTCTAAGAACGACGGACAAACCTGCAATAATTGTGGATGTGCAGTCAACCAAGTTGTCAAGCAACTGAACGCTGCAACGATGGAAGAGTGAAGATCTTTAGAATGTGCTGGAGGTGGACGCCAACATTGATATGCAATATAATCGCACAACCATTTCACTGCTCTTTTGCATTCCAATGCATCTGTAAGAAACATATCAATTTGATACATATTGTCCTAAAGTATATACAGGGTCTGCCAAAAGTTCTGGAACGGCTAATTATTTCAAATAATAATGATTGTTTGAAACAATGTTTAAAACAAAAGTTGTAGGGCTTAAAAAAAGCTATCAGATATTGATAATTGTTTGACCTTGAAATGACCTTGAGAAACGTTATCAAGGTCGACAAAAATCTTAAATGGAAACTCCAATTTTTTATTGCATCGTCTTTTTCCACCAATTAATTTGAACAACTTTTGTCTGAAACATTTTTTTATTTGCCTAATATCTTTTTAGATGTTTAAGGATAACTTGATAACTTTTTCAATATTTAATTTACGATATCTCGCCCGACTGTTTGTCGGGTAAAAAAATGGTACTAGACTTTTCTATTCTATTTGATCTCAAGAATATATTGGTACAATAATACTCTATTTTTTGTTAATTTGTCGATCTTTCGAAATTTCAAAATCATCAAATTAACAAAAGTCAGGGCGCTATTGTAACAATATATTCTTGAAACCAAATAGAATAGAAAAGTCTAATACGATTTTTTTATCCCGACAAACAGTCAGCGAGATATCGTAAGTTAAATATTAAAAAAGATATCAAGTTATCCTTAAATATCTCAAAAAATATTAGGCAAATAAAAAATGTTTCAGACAAAAGTTATTCAAATTAATTGGTGGAAAAAGACGTTATAATAAAAAAATTGGAGTTTCCATCTAAGATTTTTATGTCGATCTTGATAACGTTTCTCAAGGTCATCCCAAGGTCAAACAATTATCAAAATCTGATAGCTTTTTTTAAGCCCTACAACTCTTTTGTTTCAAACATTGTTTTAAACAATCATTGTTTGAAATAATTAGCCGTTCCAGAACTTTTGGCAGACTCTATATACAGAGTGTCTCATTTAACCTGACAAATCGTAATATCTGGAAAACTACATGTTGGATCAAAAAAAGTGGATAATAAAATTTGTTCGCCTCGAAGGGGGACATCCAATGATATCAAACTCGACTTCCCACCCCACTCTCGGGGGGTGGGCGTCGGGGGAAACTTTGAAATCTTAAATGGGAACCCCCATTTTTTATTGCAGATTCGGATTCTACGCCACAAAATACGTAAGTTTCGTCCGAAACTTTTTTTTATTCGTGATAGATGGCGCTGTAATCGCAAAAAATTAGATTTTCTGCAATTCTCCAGAAATGATCATTGGATTGAAAAATAAAAAAAACGCTCGCATGTGAATTATGAGCCACTGCAGCTAGTACTGATATTTGATTATTTTCTTCACAAACAGTAGCTCTACGCGTTCTTTTCTTAAATTGTACACTTCCATCAGTACTGTGTAACAACTCTAACGAAAGAAGAACGTGATCGTACTCTTTCAGGAAAACGCTCAGCATACAAATTGACAGCACCGTCAAAATTTCTCCTACATTCGCCATAAATGAAAATCATTTAAATTTTTTCTTGCACAGTTACATAATCCATGATGCAAAGTCAGAAGAGAATGATAATGGCATGGAACATTCTTCAAAAATTGATTAAGCACCTCTCCCGATTAGAAAGGTAAGTGTCTAATAATGATCGTCTCTTAAGTTCCATGGGCGCGAACGATGGAGAGATGCCACTAACAAATTATTTATGCAAAATCATCCCGATGGTGAGAGGCGAGGGGACTCACCTAAAACAAGCACCCCGAAGAGAACAAAAAGCTACTACGTCCTCGTCGTTGTTCCTGTAACGCCTAAAAGTAGTTTCTCGGAAAAATTCAACGGTATCTATCACGAATGAAAAAATTTGTTTCCATAAAAACTTCACGTAAAATCTAATTCTGCAATGAAAAATGTGGGTTCTCATTTGAGATTTGAACGTTACCACCCACCCTACCCCGAGGGGATGGGGAGAATAACTGTTATTACGTTTTTTAAAAATATTTTTAAAAATATTGAACAGGTATTTTTTTATTTTTCAATCCAATGATCATTTCTGGAGAATTGCAGAAAATCTAATTTTTTGCGATTACAGCGCCATCTATCACGAATAAAAAAAAGTTTCGGACGAAACTTACGTATTTTGTAGCGTAGAATCCGAATCTGCAATAAAAAATGGGGGTTCCCATTTAAGATTTTTAAGTTGCTCCCCCACCCCCACCCCCGGGAGTGGGGTGGGAGGTTGAGTTTGATATCATTGGATGTCCCCCTTCGAGGCGAACAAATTTCATTACCCACTTTTTTTGACCCGACATGTAGTTTTCCAGATATTACGATTTGTCAGGTTAAATGGGACAACCTGTATACGTACTAAAGATGTGCGATTCAAGAATTTTTATGTCGAATTGAATCTAATCGAATCTCATTTTTTAAATTCGAATTCGAATCGAATCTATAAAATTTCACTCGAATTCGAATCGAATCGAATGAAATCGAATCGAATCATTAAAAAATTTAACATGACTGTTAAAGATGCAAATAATGATGGAAGATTTGAATATGAATGGGAACATTGATATTGTAATATCATCTTAAAGTAAAATATATATTTAAATAATTAAAATAATTTATAATTAAGTTATTAATTATAAGTTAAGTTAATTACAAATTAAGGGTTCAAACATATAGGCCCAGATGGCCCGTTTTGTACTTGATGCATGCAAACGATAATGTATTTGATTCCTATTTGAATCGAATCGAATTACAATAGATTCATTTCGAATTCGAATAGTTCGCACGTTTCTAATACATATATATACAGGGTATCTCAGAACTGTGGGACACGGGCTCCGTAGGGACATAAAGCTAAGTGAGAAGAACAAAAAAGTCCTTTACCATAATGTGAAAATCATAATAGTTTTTTAGTAATAACCGCGTAAAGTTTGGCGTTTTCCACGCCCATCGCGGCCTATAGACGCTCCGCGGCAAGTGCGTATGTACGTAGGAGCTAAGCGATAACGTGTCTTGTGCTGACTGTCGCGATGGCGTCTTGGCGTTTTGACGCCGCGCGACGGTCAACGTGAGTCGCGTTATCGCTCAGCCCCTACGCACATAGTTTGCCACGGAGCGTCTATAGGCCGCGCTGGGCGTGGAAAACGCCAAACTTTGCGCTATTATAATTAAAAAACTATTACGATTTTCACATTATGGCACAGGAATTTTTTGTTCATCTCACTTAGCTCTATATCCGTACGGAGCCCGTGTCCCAACGTTCTGAGACATCCTGTATATACAGGGTCATCGAAAAGTATCGGACCCCCCTAATATCTTCAGTTAGAATGCATTTTGGAGAAAATGTTCAATAGCAAAGTTGTATGGTTTTAAGCGGAGAGTGAAATGATGACATTGACTTTGACCTTGACCATGTCCTTCAAGGTCATTTCAAGGTCAACCTTATTTTTTTAAATGGGACCCCCAACATTTTATTGCATATTCTTATAGCTTATCTCGAGAGCTTTCCAAAACACTATAATAAAACATTTCTTCATTAAGTACTTTTTGAGTTATAAAGGTTTGAAGTTAACAATTTGTTAAGTGGTGTGTGATTCCGGCCAGTTAAGGCAAGAGTGGTGTGTGATTCCGACCAGTTAAGGCAAGAGTGGTGTGTGATTCCGACCAGTTAAGGCAAGAGTGGTATGTGATTTCGACCAGTTAAGGCAAGAGTGGTGTGATTCCGACCGGTTAAAGCAAGAGTAGTGTGTGATTCCGACCAGTTAAGGCGAATTTCATTCCAATTGGCCAGCTTGAGCAAAATATTCAATTGTACCAAACAATTCACAACAAATGTTCAAATTGTTGCCCTTCAACAGCCTGGCAATGTGCCAATCTGTTATAAACAGCTAAAACCGCATTCCGGAACGTTTCCGGCGGTATTAGTTCTATCTCTCGAGTTATTCTCCCTCTTAAATCATCTAAATCTTGAGGCTTGGTGGCATAAACTTTACTTTTCAAGTAACCCCACAAAAAAAAGTCCGGAGACCGAGGTGGCCACTCAATATGACCCCTTCACCCTATCCACCTGTCCTGAAAGACCTCATTCAAATATTGACGGACAATGATACCATAATAAGGTGGAGCTCCATCCTGTTGGAAATAAATTTCACCCATATTTCCACCAGCTATGTCTCGAATAGCTGGAACAATTTGTTCGCGAAGCATGACTGTGTATACTTGTGCTGTCAAATTGCCTTCAATGAAGAAAGGGCCAACTGATCTACCATTAAGAATACCAGCCCATACGTTAACTTTTTGTGGATATTGGGTATGATTGTCTCTTTTCCAGTGAGGATTAACGTCACTCCAGTATCTACAATTGTGTCTCTTTACATTTCCAATCAGTTCAAATGTTGCCTCATCAGAGAAAACAATATTATTAAGTAATAGAGGATCGTCGACAATCATCTCCATCATAAGATCACAAAATTCGATGCGTCTATCAAAATCGTCTTCGGACAACGCTTGGACCAAATGGAGTTTGTATGGATGCCGTTTATTCAATTTCAGAATTTTACTGAAAGATGCATGACCGATTTCGTGTTCTTGTGCAACGCGATTGATGGAAATGTGGGGATTTTCAACGAAAGACTGTAAAACATCTAATGCCTTATCATTATTTGTTACTGTTTTACGTCTACCAGATCTTGGGCGGCTTTTAACGCTACCAATATCCTCGAAACGTTGAATAGTACGGATTACAGTACTTTTGGAGATTCTATTATTTTCATTCCGAAAATTTTCATTAAATAATCACGTTACTGTTTTATACCCTCTTTGTTGATCTCCCCATCCTCGCATCATTAACAGTGTTATTCGATCTCTTTCAGAAAGCTCCGCCATTCTTAATTAGAACAAAGAAGAATTAATCAGGTAAGTGATACGAAATTGATCTAAATAATTAAGTAGAGAAAAATACTAATTATTAAGTGTTAGTTCAACTATCGATTTGTTTATTTCAACCAGCACTAGCAAAAAGCTCGTTGAACAA